TTAGCTTGTCTTCCTCCTCTTCATCCTCCCTTTCCTCCTCTCGTCCAAATGCTCCTCAAAGGGTTTCCGCAACGGCTCGGGGAACACATGGCCAAACAGCCTAGGATGATGTTGGCCAAAGGGAGGGAGCGGCGGTGATTTGCTGTAGGCGTCTTTCGTATTATATACATGCGTACACCACAAACCAGAAGGAAAGCGAGTGGGGCAAGACCGTCAAATTTCCAATGCAGTGCAGAAAGACCGCTGAACAGTAGAAGAGCGCAATAAAGGTTCACCTGGCCGATGCGTTTATTTCTGACTTTCTTGTCCTTGTGGCTGATATCCAGCCAGGGCAAGTCACCTCGAAGGAGGTGCATCAGAACATACCCCAGCGCGAATAAATCCACCTGCCCGTGGAAAGGGCTCCCATCATGTCAAACCGTAGTGTACGGTGCACCTGATTTCGAAGTCGCACTCACACGCAAGGACAAACACACACGGACTCGAACACACGAAGACACGATCATTCGAACCCAGCACACCACAGCCACAAAAAGGCCAATATGCAACCACGTCCTAAGTCAAAGTGCCATGGCAACACTTCAGCGGACAACTCGACGATCGTTGAGATGGAATGTCCGAACCCAGCCTACGCACAACCCCCCTCGATATCTCACTCTTCTCCTCAGCATCCTGGCTCGCCCGCGGAAGCTCCATGCACCTCCGCCAGGCTCAAGGACCCTCGCCCGCCTCCTGGCCGAAGCGCGCGGGACAGCCCCAAATGCCGAACCCTGGGACGCCGGTTTTCTCAGCCGACTCCGACGGGGAAGGACGTGGACTCAAAACAGTGTCGATCTGTCGGTCAAGAAATATAGTCAGTCATGGGCCCACTTCAACCCCGGCCAGTCAGGCTGGGGCCAAGTCCATCACAGTTCAGCCAGCCCCGGCACGGGTTCACGCACCAGCCAGCCCCAGTCTGCAGCAGCCAGCCTCAGCCAGGCCCAGCAAGCCAGCAAGCTATCCAACCTCAGCCAGCCAGCCAGTCAATCTGCAAAAACCAGCTCGTTTTCCATCTCCTCCTCGTCCTCCTCTCCCTACTCTTCTGCTTACTGTTGCGTAGGGATTCCGTGCTCCAGACTATGTCGAATTATCAGAGCATGCGGGCATGACGATACTGGGGTACTGGTAGCAGGGTGTCGGGGGCCCATGAATTACCAAGACTATGATCGTTGATAGTTTAGTGGATCAGATGTTCCGATATTTCCCCTCCAGGGGGGGATGTAGTTCTGCCCCTCCCTGTGCGTCTTGACACCCTTAGCGCCGTCAACGGCGGCGTCCAAAAGGGACCGGATGTGCAAGACCGCCCAAGGTGGCCCAAGAAAGCACCCGTCGTCGCTTCAAGAGGCCCAAAGAAGGTCCCAAGTTGACTCGAGGTGGCCCCGGAGCATACCACGAATTCCGTCGACAGGCCCGCACCATTGAAAGTTATGAAGCGTCAGAAGTCCATCTTCATGTTCTCAATTTCTCTGCATCCGATGGGACTCCGTGGACTCTGAATGGCTCCGAGTTTGACTACGAGCGCCTTCTAAGCCAAGCTCGCACAGCCCAGGTAGCAATAGATATACACAGGCAGCCACAGGTGTACAAACCCCATCTGGTATAACCTCAGCGAACAGAGACCTAACTAGCATGATGAAAACAACACTCAGCCCGCCTGAGGCCAACTGAATTAGAATTGGCTATGCAAAGCTGGGCTGGGTCAAGCTGAGCCAACATCAGCAAAACTCACACAAGGTGAAACTGGATCAGCCAAGCTGAGTGAGCTAAGCACGAGCGCACTGAAGTAAGATACCGTGCAACATTGTAGCCTAGAGGGATCTACTGAAAGCTAGACAACGATGAAGTTAGCTCACAAGCCTAATGTACACAAACATCGGGAGGTACACGACATTGTAACCCGGGGCCGCGTACGGTAGTACGGGGCAGGGGACGGTAACGCAATATGACGTAAAGTATAGTCAAATCATGTTGTAGGCTGGGGAAGGAAGGCGAGGCGCGTATCGCAAAGAGGAATGAGGTGAGGCGTGACACGTGGGTAGGACTATATAAAGATAGGTAATCAAGTACAGGACAGGTCAGCCAGGTGAGGAAGCGTGGGCAGGACAGGACAGTGTTAGGGAAGGCATCGAAGATAAGGTATCGTAGCAAACGGCGGGGTCAAGAGTCACAGCGAAGTAAGGTTGTTGTGAAGCAAGGCTGCTGGAAACTGCACTGCAAGCCTGGCCTGAAGCAAACAAAGCAGAGACACTCCTTTGATCAACAAGGCGCACAACAACGAAATCGGGACGACCGAAACAGGAGAGGGGGGCAAGAGGAAAAAAGGGGAGGCCTGCCGCACGCCAACACACTCGTCCGACTCGGGGTTGAGGCCCCGCGGGCTGGCGGAGTTGGCCAACCGTTCGAACAACATGAGCTCAGCTTACTTACCTTGGGGGCCAGACGTCGACGGGTTGGAGGGCGTCGAGGGCGCAAGCCTGCCGAATCGTCTCTTCTGCTGGCCTCGTAACCGTCGTGGAGGAACGGACTGGAATACCGCACGGTGCCAGCAATCCCTCGCCCCTTCTCAATCTTGCACTTGTAGTGATCCCCGGTCGTCGCGTCCAAGTAGCGCTTGGACAACCCGAAGTCCACGAGGTAGATCCGTCCGACTGCGATGCGGGCCCAGATTACAGGAAAGACAGGAATAACTCCCTTCCCCCCAATACCTTCACGTGGGGCTTGCTCGACGAAATGGACGCCAAGTGATAGCCCCTGTGGTAAGGGTGAGCGAAGAGCTGGTGAAGGGTAGAAGGAAGAAGAGGATCAGGACGAGGACGAGGAGCAGCAGCAGCAGCAGTAGCAGGACACGTATGGGATGAGGAAGGGGAGGCGGAAGAGGAGTTGGAGGAGCCGCAGTAGCACGAGGATAGGGAGGAGAAGGAGGACGAGCACAAGCAAGAGTAACAACATGAGGACGTCATCACCATACCGACCGGCATCGTGCGCCCAATAGGAGACGAAAAATCGAGGTGATGGTAGAGCGGAAGGTTTAGCAAGAAAAGGTCAGACAAGCCACGAGGCTCTCAAGCACGAAGCTCCTCAGCACGAGATTCCTCCTCGTCATCCTCCTATTACTCCTCCTCTTCCTCCTCCTCCTCCTTTTCCTCCACCTCCTCCCCTCCTCCTCCTCCTCCTCCTCTTCCTCCTCCTCCTCCTCCTCCTCCTCCTCCTCCTCCTCCTCCTGCTCTCTTTCCCCGACCTCCTCCTCCTCCCATCCGTCTCCTCCTCCTCCCCCTCCTCCTCCTCCTCCTCCCTCTCCTCTCCTCCTCCTCTCCTGGTCCTCCTGCTCCTCCTCCTCCTCCTCCTCCTCCTCTCCTCCTCCTCCTCCTCCTCTCCTCTCTCCTCCTCCTCCTCCTCCTCCTCCTCCTCATTCCCCTCCTCCTCCTGAATCTCCTCCTCTTCCCCCCATCCTCTCCCACCGCCTCACTCGTCGATCGTCCCTGCTTTCACGCTCCTGCCCTGTACCCTCACGACATCCCCTTTCCGCGCATCAAAACCATGATGTGCAATGCTACACGGCTTATGGGCTCCATCCCCTGGCCCGTCGGAATGCGCAGCTCTTCCCGTCCGGCATGCACCTCGTGCCCCTGCCTCTCCCTACTGCTCCTCCCTCCAGTGTTGCTGCTCTGCCCCTCTATCGCGTCCCCAGCCTTTCCTGCCACCTCTTCCCTCCACTGGGCCGGCACCCTCCCTCCACTCTGTCTCCACCTATCGTCGCCCACCCTCCCTGCGAACACCTTCCCCTCCCTGCGCTCGTCGTCCTCCCCGCCTTCATCCCCGTCCAACCATCGCCTCCCCATCCGCCCAGCAAGGCCAGAAACACTTGACTAAAAGAGGCATGGATCGTCAGATCTGGAAGTGGAGCGCCTTCTTCTCCCACCCCGATGAGGAAGTTGTGCGGCTTGATATCCCGGTACAAGACCCCACAATTATGAACAAATTCCAACCGCGTGATCACCTGGCGCAGTGCTTATGGAGCGTGTGGTTTCTCTCTATCTCTCTCTCCCTATCTCTCTCGCTCTGTCTCCCTCCATCGTCCTTCGTGTAACACCCACAGAATATAAGCGAACTGGCGCGAAGGTCTGCTTTGGCGCTACTCATGTCGCACAGGGCGTCACATCTTCTCAACGTGCACAGACATGGGGTGGAAGGATGGTAAGGGTGAGGGAACATGCGCTGCAAAAGCCTCGGCGGAAGTCTGCGAAGCTCGTTGGGTCTAGATGGTGATGCCAGGGAGGTGTGGTGGTCGAGGGCGCTGCCAGAATCGGGGGAGCACAAAGGTGCGGTTGGGGCATATGCGGGGTTGGAGGGAAAATCGCTCCAAGCGGCCCCTGGAAGAAAGAAAAGCGTTAGACGGGAGCATCCAGCGGGGCCCGCTCCCCAGCCCCAGCTTGGGATATCCCTCCCTCTACAGACCCCCGACAGAATCCAGAATAAACCATCCCACCCGCCGGCGTGTATCCTCTTATCCCCCTCCCGTCGCCTGAACCCCGTGGCCCCTGCACCGCCGACAGGATGAAAGGATGAAGGGACTACGATGAAGAATGTCGTGGAGCGGGCGGCGGAAATGCCATCCGTGATGATGATGGTGTTGGTGATGATGATTGTGGTGATGATGGTGACGGTGATGATGGTGATGATGATGGATCTGGTGTGGAAAATACGGATCCTGATGGTGATGATAGTGATGATGCGGATGATATTGATGAAGATGAAGATGAACATAAATGTGAATATGTAGATGGTGATGATGGTGCTGATGTTTTTCCAGCGCATGTTTTGGGAGAGGGGGGAAAGGGAAGGGCAGGGAACGCGCAACGCACCAGTCAGAAGCCACTCGCCTTCAGCTGCCTGCAACGCCACCAGCGGACAAATCGTGCCCCCCCCTGTGAACTGCAAGGGCCCCGAACAAATGTCACGCATTCGGTGCACAGGCGAAGTTCCGCCACTGCTGAGGAGAACACTCTCCCAACAAAGCATGGCTCTAAACCCGCCGCTGGGGGCACGGAGAAGCGGAGGGAAGAGGAAGGGGGAGCAGCAGGGGGACAGGAGGCAAAGAAACTGCAAGCTAAATTAAACCCTGACAGGTTATTAAGAAGCGAATGTCCCCTGCCCCGCAGGCGAACACATCGGCATTCAGAGACGACCCACGCCAATGCAACTACAGTGCGCAGTACAAAGTATCAAAGTAAGTGAAGCGGATGTGAAGAAAATCGACAAACAGTGGCGGAGGGCCGAAGCCACAGAACGCGGCTGACCGATCGGCCTGGCGGCTGCGAGGGCAGCCAACGCCACACATGCATGTCCGGAGCGCCGCCCAGCGAATACGGGCTCGATGGGGAAAAACTACAACGAGCACGTCAACAAACACGTGCAAGAGGAGGGAAGAGAAGGAGAGACGGGGCCAGGCTCCGAGCCGCGGCTGTCCTTATGATGATGATGCTGATGATGACGGTCATGATGATGACGATGATGATGATGATGATGATGATGATGATGATGATGATGATGATGATGTCGATGGGCATTGAAAGGTCTACTCCAGAGGGGTTTTTGTGAGACGCCAGACCTGTTGCGTTGAGAAAGGACTACCGAAGCGAAACAAACATCACTTATAGCGGAAGCGTTGACCAGCAAAAGCAACATCTAGAACATCGAGCTTACTGCCAAAAGCTCTCTCGGACTACCCCAGAAAGTTCCCTTTTGACTGTCTGCCGTGGAGAAAATTCCAGATGCCGTGCTGCGAACCTTGGGGCGTGGGCCTTCCTGGCGAAGGCGAACGGACGGAGATGACTCTGGGCCGACGCCTCGTGTGCTGTGGGGAGGAAGAAGCGGCCGAGGGGAAGCGGGACGAGTCCACCGTGCTTGGCGCCTATCACAGCATCTGCGCATGTAGACGCAGTGCAGGGCATGCACAGCATATACGCAATGCACGTATGGGGGCATGTGTGCACACCTACGCGAGCAGCCTTCGGGCGATAATGAGGTCGTAGATATATACACAGACATACATACATATATATATATATATATATATATATATATATATATATACATATGTATGTATATATGTGTGTGCATACATACGTACCTACATACGTATGCCATTGCCCGCCTGCGATGGCCCCAAGCTGGCGTGGTAATGCATCCCCACACATGGCGGAGCACCGCGCATCAAAATATGTGCATGTATGCCTAAGTAGGCACGTGACTGAAATACATACGCACCAATGTGCATGTATACGCATGTGTCGACACATGGGTGAAAGTTGTGAATATATCTGTTTATGTGTATATATAGACCATGTGTTGACTTCGTGGGATCTATATATGTATAATGTATATCGGAGGTGGGGGGGTGAGATCGAAGTGGAACGGAGAGCCCCCTTACAGGGAAATCGATTTCGGTTTCGTGTTCGTGCGTGCCGTGCGTGCGGGCGAGGCGAAGCTGCGTGGGCGGGCGAGAGAAAAGTCTCCTGTGGCTGAGGCGCGGCCGGACCAAATGATTCCGTTCCGGGCGGCCGGGGCCCCGCGGTGTCCCGCCAGTGTCCCGCTGGGGTCCCGTGTGGCTGAGGCGCGGCCGGACCAAATGTCTCCCTTCTGGGCGGCCGGGGCCCCGCGATGTCCCGCCGGTGTCCCGTCGGTGTCCCGATTATGATGATGAGTTTGATGATGATGATGATGATGATGGTGATGATGATGACGATGTTGAGGTTTTACTTTGATGATCTATAGTGAGATCGGTAGTGCTATCGATTGTGAGATCGAACGTGAGATCGAATGTCAGATCGCTTGTGGGATCGATTGTGAGGTCGATTGTGAGACCGAATGTGAGATCGATAGTGAGATCGATAGTGAAATCGATTGCGAGACCGAATGGGATATCGATTGTGAGATCGATTGTGATATCGATAGTGAGATCGATAGTGGGACCGAATGTGAGATCGATTGTGGAATATATTGTGAGATCGATAGTCAGATCGATTGTGAAATCGCTCGATTGAGTTACTAGTGAGATCACTATCGGTAATGAGATCGATAGTGATTTCGATAGTGAGATCGAAGATAAGACCGAATGTGGGATCGGTTGTGAGTTCATTTGTGATTTCGATAGTGATATCGATAGTGGGATCGATAATGAGATCGAAAGTGAGTTCGATAGAGAGATCGATAGTGAGGCCGAAGGCGAGATCGATTGTGAGATCGATTGTGATATCGATAGTGAGATCGATAGTAAGACCGAATGTGAGATCGATAGTGAGATAGATAGTGAGTTTGATCGTGAGATCGATAGTCAGATCGAGTGCGAGATCGATTGTGACATCGATTGCGAGATCAACAGCGAGACCGCATTTGAGATCGATTGTGGGATCGATTGTGAGATTGATTGTGAGATCGATAGTCAGATCGATTGTGAGATCTATCGCTTGAGATCGAATATGAGATCGGTAGTGAGTTCGATAGTGAGATCGATCGAGAGCGACGTTGGTCCCTCCCCCCCCCCCCCCCCCCCCCCCCCCCCCCCCCCCCCCCCCCCCCCCCCCCCCACCTCCTTATCACCCGAAGGGTGGTCTATGCGGTATAGGTGTGCGTGTGTGTGTGTGTGCGTGTGCATGCGTGTACGGCTATAGAAACATGTGCATGCAAGCACTGGCATGCAATGTGAGTATATATGTATGGATTCATGATTGTTGCGTCCACAATGCATGTGTACGCCTGCGGGTAGACCTGTCATGTGCGCACGTGTGAGTATACGGCTAGCCACGAGACCACCGGTTTCTACCTGGACCTCGGCACGGGCCATCGGCGCACCCACGTCGAAGATTGCTGCATGGGCGCCCGCAGACCGCGGGCGGGCCGCGGCACCCGCCGCCCCCGGGGCTGCACCCAGCCCCCCCCCCCCCCCGGCCACTAGGAAAGGGGGGGGCGTCGCGGCAGGAGGGCGGGGCCCTCGAAGGACGAGGAACACCGCTGTCGGCTTCGATGTCCTCCTCTTCGCCCCCGACCACTTGCTCGTCCGCCGAATGGCACGGGGTCGTCCGCTCCGCCCCTGGGAGCGCCTCCCTTCTCCCCCGTCGTCGAGGGTTCCCCCATGGATCGCGTGGCCATCGCGCAAGATGCGGGCCCTGAGGGGCGCGGCCATTGGGAGCGGCCGCGCGCGGCCACGCAAGGCACTGCCCCGATCGACGCCCCGATCAACCAGCGGGCGCATTACTTCCAGCTCCATCCCCCTCCGGGGCACAGATGCGGCAGGGCTCAGCGGGCGAGGGGCCACGACGAGCAGGCGCAAGTCCACCACCTGGCGAAGTCCTCGACCGAGCGGAACGCCGAAGGCAGCGCCAGCAAGTTACAGGCTGACAGGCCAAGGGGATCGCGCCGCGGCATACCTCGCCGTCGCCCAGGCGACAGCGGGCGCACCTGGTGGCCGAAGGCGCCTAAAACGGACAGAGGTCGGGCCAGACTGGCCCTTCGGGAACGCGCCCAGCACCCCCCCCATAGCAGCAGAAGCGACGACCAGACCCGACGGAACGCATGCGCACGGAAGGCCCAGCGAGCCCCCCGAGTGGACCAGCCCCGAGATGCGACGACGGAGACGAGCCCCGCTTAGAATCTGAAGAACGTGAACAAATCAAACGGTTCCACTGCGTCTTTGCAGCTTCCACCTGGTATTTTCGAATTACAGATAACGAAAACGCAGGAAGCCACTCAACTCGTTGCATGCATTGTCTGTTCCATTTAACGTATTGCATTGAATTTGTTATATTCAACTTGTTTGACATATTTAAGTCTCAACGCACGACGGCCGCCGCCCCCGGCCCGCGCCCCCTCGGCGGGCGGGGGCAACAAACCAAATGCATCGATTACACTAACGAGTTTTAATAGCATGAATGGCCCCAGCGCTCCTGCGAATTCTGCAATTTAGTGTTTAATGATGCATAACAAAGAAAATTGATTCGT